TTGAGTGAGAGAACGCCTGAGTGGGTGAACGGGTGGGCGGGCGAAGGAAGGAGCAGACGAGCGGGTTAACGGCAAGTAGAAGAGCAGGCTAATGAGTGAACGGGAGCCCGGGGGAGTACTCGAACCGGCACGGGGGGAAGAGGATTGAGTGTGTGGGTGAATGGACGAGTGGGTGAGCGGGCGAATGATTCAGGGAGTGAATGGTGAGCAGGCGAGTGGTCGAAATGATGAGCGGTCAAAAGGCAGCGGGAATTGGGCGGTAGTAGACGGCGACGGGTGTGAGTGGTAGACGGCAATGGCCGTGGATGGTAGTGATGCCACATCGATAACAAAACATCGACCAAAAACCATCGATGTTTTTCAACATCCATGTTTTTAGATTGGAATAGTTACCTCTAACAATACACTCGTGTGCATTAAAATTTAATTTGACGGTTCGTGTTTATGAATTAGCCGAATAAGGGTACGAGAAGGGGCAGACCCTCCGCCCACAGCGTATTTGTTGACTATCTTAATATGCGAAATGAATATGAAGAAAGAGGAAATACAAGGGCATGGAGGTCATCTCGGGCGAGGGAGTGGTCGATGAAGGTAGTGCAACCAGCTTTCTTTAGGTTCCAACACAACAAACAGTGTTGCTATCGTTATTCAATATTCTAACTTTTACAGTACTGTGATCTTGGGAACTTTTACTTCAGAAACAAAACATCGGTAAAGAAAAAACATCGATCACAAAACATCGATGTTAAAAAACATCGTTTAGACGTTTTAAATAGAAGTTTAAAATATCGATGTTTCTACAAAAACATCGACATCGATGTCGCCTTCCTAGCGAATGGGCCGCGAATGAGCAGTAGGGAGTGGCTGATGGATGCTGGATGGCGGGTGGCGGAGAACCGTATAGGAAGGTGGTGGGTAGCAGAAAGTGGCTCAAAGTGGTTGCGGGTTGAGTAGCAAAGATTGGAGGGATTAGGACGTTGCATGGGAGAGCGTGGCGGGAGGAAGGCGGCTGCGAGTCGTCCCAAGTTACATGAGGCACTTCCAGGTACAGCCCTGGGACACGCCCACAATACCGTTGATCGCAGTGAATAGCGGCTGCGGGACTGGATGCGAACAGATGTAGCCTATACGACGAAAAACACATTTGAGTATCAGCTACATTTGTCTCCTAAGTGCGTTATATATCTGATGCTATTTTTTTCTTTATATTGTTTATGATAATATTCACGGACTGACATATTCAGAAAAAGAATATGGTGTATAATTTCACATACCCGTTAATAATATGAGATATCCGAGTTTCTAATTCAGATTGAAAACGATCAGTTATCTTGGGAATAAACGTTATTACTACATATTTTCCCAATTTTGACATTTCCCTATTTTCTCCCCAAAAGATTAGGATAATTAGAGATGCGAACAAGAGGTTCGAAAAATTGTAGTCAATCTTGGGCGTTTAACTCCAAGCTCGTTGAGAATACAAGAATTCGCTACGGAAGTGAAATGACGTTCATTGATTACATACTTAAGAAGGCATACCTTTTTATGTCATTAATCTCCAAAGAGCATTTTGCACACCGGAAGGTGGCGGTATTCCTCCCGTGGTGGAACATCAGATCCGGCGCCGGCGTACACGTCAACATGTGGTTTCCGCCATCGAGATATCTCCCTCTTCCCGTCCCAGGCTGTGCAGTCTTCAAGCTCCCAACTCGTCTCGCGACATGAAGCATGATGTCACGGAGTCATTCGGTAGAAAGAGCCAGCCAGTAGAAGGAGGTTGAGGGGGGGGGGCGGAAGCGCATTTAACACGTTCGTAGTTGTAGAGATGTCATGTTTCTGGTCTTCTGTAAATATGAATGGGTTCCTCCTATCAGGCGATACTCAGCGCTGCGTATTTTATCGTTCTGTGTGCTCCAGACATTTGCTTTCGTCACCTTTTTCACTTTAGTAGCACAGGAAAGGTATTGTGAAGGTGTGAGAAATCCGAGCGGTGTTTAATTCAGTGCGGTCTAATATCAACAGGGTTTATTTTTTCATCTCAAACGATCGTTTAATTTGTATGACTATAACATTTAATCAACAGAAAATGCAGGTATTCGGTATTAATTTGGATAGATAAGGATGGAGAGAAAGAAAGAAAATTATAAGAAATATTTTACATTTTTAATACATAGTACTTTTTTTATAAGTGTCAATCACTTGACGATATTGTACATCATATGGTAGTTTTAATTTATTTAATAGCACGATAATACCATTTTCCAACCAGTGAAACATTTTTAATCATACGGAGGTTCTTTATTCTCATCGATAATTTATATTTCTTCTCTTTCATTGAAGTGTCTTATTTGAAAACTGTGTCCTAAATTTACGCGCATGATTTGAAAAGCGTTCGAAGTTATCGTTAAAATTTTCAGTTCTTTTTGAGAGTATTTACATAAAATATCACCAAGTATGTCTTCCATGTTCTTCATATTATCAACATGACTGAGACTGAACAATGTTAGAATTATAATTGAACAAGTGTCCAGATGTAAGTATGTAAACATATTTCTCACTGATTTAATAAACATTATTACACAACACAATATAGGAAACAACAAAATATTTTAAATTAAAAAAAAGGAACTGGTTACGCAGTTTTGAAATCTCTGCATGAAAATCGTGATATCTCGTACATGATAGTGTGTTTAAATTAATTTTCGAAAGGATATCTTATTGCAATTTCATGGTTTTGGCGTGAAACCAACGATATTAGCGTATCTGGTATCTCCATGCATTATGTTCCAAGCTGAAATAATTAAAAATCAAGTTTCCTACTTGATGCATGAAGTATTTTCTACGTGTATCTAATTTGAATACAACAAAGGAATGTTGGTTATTTCCTTCTTACTTCTACGCACCTGTTCGCCAGTTTCTGTATGGAGCTTTTCACCTCATTCACTTATGAATCCTGAAGAACGATTTGTTTCTCAAAATTCGTGTAAGAATTTTTCTAAATTCCTAGGTCATTCAAAAGCCTGGGAAGTGTAAGACATTGCTCTGGTGGGAACAGTCTACATTTTCCGCAAAGCGTAGTAGAGACACCGACAGACCTTCCACCTGCTCCTTAGGAAGACGATTGCAACCCAAAGTAGATTTTATATTCAACTGACGCATAACATCTATAGTCAATAATTAGAGGAATAGTAATAGTAACAATAGCGAACGAAGTGGCTCACGGCGAAACGCGCTGATTTCGCAGTCGTGAGGCCCGGGTTCTATCTCCGGGGCGGCAATTCTGACCGGGGGTTTTCGGGCTTTCTCTGCTGTCATACAGGCCAATAGTGGGATGGTTCAAAAAACCCGTAATCACCTCTCACCATCGTCATCATTCATCACCTTCTATTTCGTAATTCAAGGCTTAACAACATTGTCTTGCCAAGGAATACAGCCAAAAAGCTGATCCCCATAATTACAAACGTTAATCTCCCTCAAGGATAGAATATGACTCTGTCTGGGAAGAGAACGTGTAGCGTGGTCAGAAATAGCCGAACACGAACAACAACAATAATAATAATAATATTAATAATAACAATAATGATAATAATAACAATAACAATAATAACAACAGTAATAATAGTAATGAAATAATAATAATAATAATAATAATAATAATAATAATACAATAATAATAACAATAATAATAATAATAATAATAATAATAATAATAATAATAATAATAATAATA